GCGTTTTGTGTGTTGTCTTGTCGGTCTGAAAAGCTGACCGTTTGTGGAAAAGCTGTTTCGTTTCAGAAAAAGTTAATATGTATAGCGCGGTCTAATACTGCATTTTGTGTGTTGCCTTGCCTATAAATAACGGCCGCATTCTAGTTATTTTCTGCGCTTAGCAATACCTAATAGCAAATTATTCCATAAAAGCAAGGTTATTTTTTTACACTTTAACAAATGTCTGAACCCCTTTATGTACCAAGGTGCGAGTGCGGCAAAAAATGCATGATGCAAGACTGTTGGGATGATGGTGAAGCTGGACGCCGCTACTGGGCGTGTATGAACAAGTTTTATAGGGTTCCCGACGAACCTGTTTGCAATTTTGAGGTTTGGATTGATGAACCCTGTCAGCAGGAATACTACAAAGAAAAGTTGCAGTATCTTCATTATTTGACCTTGAAACAGTGGAAAAGAGAGCGACAATACAAACGACAAGTTACGGAGTTGAAGGAGAAACTCAAAGAGGTGGAAGAAGAAAAAAATAAGCCGGTAGAAAATTTTAAGTGGTTGGAGCAGAGAATACTAAGCGGTGGTGACTAAACAATGACATGTATGTGTTGAGCGTAGTAGTGTATCTTTATGTTTCCCGTGTCATATGTTTTCATTAGTTGTACTGAATTTAAGTTATGTTAAGTTTCTATGTTTGTGTTTTTGTTGTACTGCCAAAATAAAGAAGAAACGGGGTAATAAAAACATAATGCGCATATTATGTAACCAACATGATTTATTATTTACATAAAATACAAAAAAAGAAAATGAATGTGTCCCACAGCCTTTGTGCTTCAATGCAGTCGCTGGCCTGAGGCGTATCCCCTCCCGCCCGGATACACTATCAGGATCATCCTCATCACGTCGCCTCTTTATATGAGGATGTACTGCAGCATGATGCTCCACAATATCGAGGCACATCAGCGGGACAGAAGTGCTCCAGATCAGTCGGCCGACCGAGCAATAATCGGGAAGGCGACCTATCAAGTCGTCGTTGTATGGTGTCCAGATGAACTATAAAATAAGAACATAAAAGTGAGTTTGCGCAACACAAGTGAATTTATACCAAGTAAGTTTAGGTACACATTTACCTGTGCGCTCTCCAGCATATCCAACACATCCCTGACAAGGGGAGGATTATGATGAGCATCAATGGATCGGTAATTTCCACGCCGGAGAACCCACCTCCTAGCTAGAGGGAGAAACGGAGGTGCTACATCCGGAGGTAATGGTGGTAGAGGTGGCTGCAACTGCAGGAACCGCTCCCAGGCCCAAACCTAACATACAAGGTTGACGTAAAGGTTAAGATAAATTTGACTAGATAGAATTGGAAGTAATGAACAGAGTATTCGAATATGTTGTTACCTGTAGAAGCGGCAGAAAACCACATACGTCGCTCTGGGTGCCCATGCTCGCCCGGCACATATGCATGTACATGTAAGCGAGAACAGCAGCACCCCAGTTGTACTGGGGTAAAGCATCTAGCAGCTGAAGATGATGTAGAAATCGCAAACTCACTAGATTTCCTGAAGTGTTCGGTAGCAAGACCCCCCCCAAAAAGAAGGAGCAGCACCAACCTCGTGTACCGGTGAATATGTAGATCATCTGTCTCGTCGGTGATGTCAGGGTGCAATATCTCCAAATGTTGTCTAATAGCTGTCAAACCCATGCGACTAGCCCCTGAATGTGCAGTCTCATCCTGTGGCCTGAAACCAGTGAGCTGCTGCAGCAAGTCCAAATACTGGGCACGCGACATATATCTCATACCCTGAGGCAGTGCAACGGCCAGCCCATCAGCAGGCAACCCATATAAAACCTCAACATCCTGCAGCGTGATGGTGGCCTCGCCAATGGGCAGGTGGAAAGTGTGCCTATTCGATCGCCACCGCTCTATCGAGGTCGTGATCAGAGACCAGTCGAGCTGCAGCACCCAATCTCAAAAATCCTATAGAAGCCAGTATCCCTCAGGCGCTGGACTACACGGGGATGGAAAAGCCTGTCCCTCATAAAGTCCCACAAGTCGTCCACTCTCCTGGCGCGGAGAGTCTGGTCCAGTAGCTCTCCCTCCCATACGTAGGCGGACCTATGATCGCCCTGTAACACTAATAGCTCATCGGAGAAAGGTCCAGGATGCACAGGCGGCACGTCCATGTCGTCTACTGTAAATTAAACAATATTAGTTGTATTTGTTTTGTAAATTAAATAATTAATTTTTAATTGGACAGAGTATATATCTATGGGTTCCAGGCTCGATATTTGAGGCCCAGTAGCACCAAGCTATCCTGAATTCTTATGTGTGTCAATTTTAATTTTTTTCATAATTTTGTGTGTTTGATTTATAAATTAAATAATTAATTTTTAATTGGACAGAGCATATATCTACGTGTTCCAGGCTCGATACTTGAGGCCCAGTAGCACCAAGCTATCCTGAATTCTTATGTGTGTCAATTTCATTTTTTTTCATAATTTTGTGTGTTTGATTTATAAATTGAATAATTAATTTTTAATTGGACAGCGTATATATCTATGGGTTCCAGGCTCGATATTTGAGGCCCTGTAGCACCAAGCTATCCAGAATTCTTATGTGTGTCAATTTTAATATTTTCATAATTTTGTGTTTTTTGTTTTATAAATTAAAAATTAATTTTGTAAATTGTAATTGGACAGAGTTTCTGTATGATCTATCAATATAGTAGATACTTAAACTACAGGGATTCTACGCTAAAAGGCTCTACATTTTACTACGCTAAAAGGCTCTATATTTTACTACGCTAAAAGGGCACTAGTCTTTAAGCAAATAAATAATCTAAACCAAATAAAAACAACAAATATATTTTAATACTATAACATTCACGAAATTACAAATAAAACAGTAAAAGAAATTTATGAACATTCTTATTAACAAAAAAAATGATTTCTCAACTTTTAAATATTTTTTTAAAACACTAATATCTTAATCCGGATAAAATAGCATACTAGTTTAATCGCAAATAAAACACAAAACAACATGGAAACACATTCAAGACAACTAATATGCATTATTATACGAGTTTCGACATATACTAAATCGAAATACCTCGATTTATGTTTTTAGAAAAGTCGATAAATTAAAATTTTGAGCCCGAAACGAGGAAACCACAACAATAAAAGGCTTGGGTTGGATGTGGGACCTACAATCTTATCTTTTTGTGTGACGGGTGGGGTCCACTCGGATGTTTCTGTCGTGAGAAGAAGAAGGGCTTTTTAATGAAGACGTTGTATTATACCGCGCTATATATAACGCGGTATTACACCGCGCTATACTTTAACGGCAGAAACACCGTTAAAGTATAGCGCGGTGTAATACCGCATTATATATAGAAATGTAACTTTTTTTTTAGCAGTAGAAATGTATTTTGAGTCCGAAAAGCCAACATTTAGATTTCAAACTCCTACATCGGGGGCATATGATTCTCGGGACTGATCCCTCGAGCTCGAACCTGGCCTTACCCGGACTCGGACTTCGGACGACTTCCTTAGTGTATAGATTGAAGGCATTCGATCTTAACCGTATACCGTCTACAAAATTCCATATGCATAACGTTAGGTAAAAGAGGAAAAAAGGAAAAGCTTTTTTCTTCTTGGACAAAGAAAAAGGGAAATGCTTTATGTTCATGCCAGTGACGTTTATGCATTGTCATTTGGCAATTGTTAGTAGTCAAAGCGCAAGGTCAATTAGTTATTAGTATGATTTGTGAATGAAAATTCTTGGGTCCTTTCATATTTCAAGTGCTATATTCCTTCGTTTCACACAGAGATTATCTTTTTTGATGCTGTAAAGTTCAAGTTTGGAGGGCTAGCTAGCACTTGTTTGGAACTTTCTAAACCCTCTTTCTTATTGTTTGCCGCGTGGAATGAATTAAAAAAATAAGACCAATTGGCAGTTGTACTACGACCAGGAAAGTTAATGGAGTCAAATTGAATTTATATTAAATAGCTCATGGGCGACCATGCTCGCTATATTTTAAGATGGATATAATAATTAATCCGAAATTTATTCCATAGTATTAAAATACGTTGAAGATTCACAAAGTAAAGGAAGTAAGTGGGATATGAGTATTCCAACTAACTTTCCAGAAGAGACTCGTTTAACAACCTTAAGTTCATCATGAACAGGTTCCTTCGGAGTCATCCAATAAAATTGGAATGATACAAAGAAAATTAGCATGGCCCTTACTGCTCAAGGATGACATGCACAAATCGACAAATGGTCTACATTTTTTAAATTGCAAAAGAAAAAAATCGTCATGAACAGTACAAACAATACTGTTTGATACTATTGGAAATCACTGGATTAAACAATATAGAACTTTTCCAACATAAGCATATGTTAAGCTAAACAGGACTTTGGTGATTTCAGCTTGCTAATTTAGTTAATATGCTTATTTGAGACTCTTTAAATACTTATATCATAGCTTTTGCCCCATGATAAAATCACACCATATTGGTGAAGAAGATAAAATAATTCTCATAATAAAGTCAACTATCGTTTTGCAAGATTTTCATAATATGCTGAAAAATAAGAAACATTTTAGCCTAATAAGAAAATGAGTCAATAGGGTCATTACTCTTCCAATATAAGTTCTTGGAATAAATAGGCCAGAAAAGTATAATATTTCTTCCTATTGGTTCAGTTTTATTGTTCCAAGCATTAGTTTCAAAATTCATGTGCCCACGTGTCCCGTTGGAATAATATGAAAGCTTTAGTAAAAGTAAAAACAACGACATAAACGACGATGAAATTACACATTTGAAAATTCCCCAAAAGTTCAAACAAGAGATAAGCGTTATAAGACACATTATGTGAATTCCCACAAAAAGTCATTCAAATTCGGGACAAGAGACTTTGATAAAGTCAGTGTCAAATATTGAGCAGCCAAGAGAGGCAATGGGCGATTATAAATACTTCCCACCTACAAAAAGACCAAATCACTAAGTTTGCTTTCTTTTAACACCTATATACACCATTCTCCCTCTGTCTTTCACATACCAGATATATATATATATATATATATATATATATATATATACACGGTAAACATTTTATTAGATAACTAAACATGGGGAGAATGGCTCTTCTAGCTGCAGCAATGACTTTGTTAGTATTAGTTTTACAACCTCCGATGGCTTTTGCTGCTACCAAAGGAAAGATGGTAACAATTTTGAGCGTTGATGGAGGTGGAATTAGAGGCATTATTCCTGGCACCGTTCTTGCCTTCCTTGAATCCAAACTTCAGGTACTTATCAATCATCATCTACTATATATTTTACTCTGTTGTTGAAACACTGTTATGGACTTTCCATCCAGCCTTGAATGGATTTGTGTGTTAATAACCCGAATCCATATTGCTGAAGAAAGGCATTGAGGAGAGAATATATCTCTGACTCAAAACGTTTTTCGAGTGCCACACCCATATATAGTAAGCCCCAACTAGTTCAAGATAAATTTTTTAACTTGGGCGTTTCCACCGTGTTATAGATTAAATTCTTGAACACTGACCATGCTTCTATTATCGGTTTTATTTTATAAGATGTTATTAAATGTACACTAATTTTTAAGAAGAAAGAAAGACGTTTCACACGTACCAAAAATACACTTTAGTTAGAACTTATGACATGTCAAGACATTTCAATAGTTATAACAAGTTAAAATAAGAAGTTTCAACTTAAAGACAAGTCTTTAGAATAAAGAAAAAATGTCGACCTTTTTTTAAACAGACTAATAAAGAAAAAATGCCATATAACTTAAACAGAAGAAGTCGTTTTATTACTTTCTTCTTATATCCTTCTCATAAACTATATCTGTATATGCTTAACTAGGAGTTGGATGGATCAAACGCAAGACTTGCAGATTATTTTGATGTGGTAGCAGGAACAAGCACAGGTGGATTAATAACCACTATGCTTACTGCTCCTAACAAAGACAACCGCCCCTTATATCAAGCAAAAGACATTTCCAATTTCTACATGGAGCACGGCCCTCAAATTTTTCCTCAAAGCAGGTTAAAACAGTAAATATAGTGACTCAGAGTTCTTTCTTTTTCTCTTTTGCTTAATACTGAAGGAAAATGTTTAATTATGAATTTTTCAGACGTAACAGCTTTGTGAGGAGAGTCACAAATTTGTTTGGGGGGCCAAAATATGATGGCAAATACTTGAGATCAATGATTAATTCAATATTAGGCAATCTTACTATGAACCAGACGTTGACTAATACTATCATACCAACTTTTGATATCAAACGCCTTCAACCAATTATATTCAGTACCGCTGATGTAAGTTTCTACTCTTTACCTAACAATATTCTTTTAATTATTACTATATTTTTTTGCTTAATGAAAATGATGGGATATCCTATATAATTTATTCAATTTTGTTTATAGGCAAAAGCAAATATATCTAAGAATGCTCAATTGTCAGACATTTGTCTTAGTACCTCGGCCGCACCTACTTATTTCCCAGTACACTATTTTGAGACCAAGGATGCTGAAGGGAAAATACGTACATTTGATCTTATCGATGGAGGTGTAGCTGCAAATAATCCAGTGAGTAGCCTTTCTAATATAAGCAATTGTATATCTTAAGATTAATTTAATTCTAATATAAGCAATTGTAATTAGTTTTAGCTTATTAGTGTTGTGATTTTGCTTTATTGAGCAGAGGGCTTCTAGAAACAGCCTCTCTATATTCACAAGTTAGGGGTAAGGATTGCGTATATACTACCCTCCCCAGATCCCACTTGTTTGTTATTAGTGCATTAATATAGCGAGCCATTTTCTTTATTTTCTACTTACTTATATTATCAGTGCGTTAAACTTTATATCTTACGTATTTATGAAATATCAGTATTGACATCCATCTTCTTTACTCTTTCGTAGACTCTGATGGCAATAACACACATTTCAAAACAAATTATGACGGGCACCTTTCAGTACGAGAATATGGAAAAAATGGACTGCAACAAAATGTTGGTTCTGTCATTGGGCACGGGTACAGGAAAGCACGAAGAGAAGTACAATGCTACAATGGCTTCTAGGTGGGGAATGCTAGGTTGGATCTACAACAATGGTGCCACCCCATTGATAGATGTTTATGCTGATGCTAGTGCTGATATGGTAGACATTCACGTTTCCACCATGTTTCAGACTCTTGGCAGTGAGAAGAACTACATCAGGATTCAGGTAACAATGACTTGACTTTTCTTAGTATGTGACAATTCAACACGAAAGAAAAGTCTATTCCTACTATCCATGGACGTTTATACATCCCTTTCTTGATTGTTATTATCATTATAATTATTTATTATTATTATTATTATAGTGGTGTCTAAGTTAGTTTGTCGTGTACCTAGACTTATGCCACTTGAAAGAGACAAATTGAGTATATAAACAATGCGGTTCAACTAAATCCTTTATTTTGGATACGTTGTATAGATATATATATGAGAAAATTACTAAGATTTAAAGAAATACTAAAATTTGAAATCATAATACTAATAATGTGAGGAATTCAATGGTAAACACATAAACGTTGAACCCATCAAAGTTAAGTTTTGGGTCGCCTCTACCACCAAATACATCTACTTCACCGGCAAAACTATTGGTAACTTTTCCCATTAAAGTTTAAGCTGATGAAAATAATAATTCACCTTAACTTTTTTGTTTCTATTGAAACGTGCATTCATTTTGTTGATTATTTGAGTTTGAATGGTACAGGACGATAATTTGACTGGAGAGGCTGCATCTATGGATATTGCAACCGTAGAAAACATGGAGAGACTTGTACAAATTGGTAATGATCTATTGAAGAAGCCAGTGTCAAGGGTCAACTTAGAAACAGGCCGATACGAACCAGTTGTTGCGGAGGGTACTAACGAAGCTGCTATACTCCGTTTTGCTCAGTTGCTTTCAGAAGAAAGGAAACTCAGAATAAACAACTAGAAAGTACATATTTGTTCAGACTGGGAAATATACTCTTAGGATTTGTCATACAAAATCCGTAGAACTAGTAAAAGACTGATTATACAAAAAATTCTTCTCCAATTGTTAAGTGCCTACAGAGTAGGCCATGTTGTAATATCAAAATAAATTAACCTTCAAATAGGGAAATAAAATAAAATTTATTTAATTGTTCTATTTTTCTTCATCAGCTCCTATCAATTGTTGTGTAAAGACTATACCTCTTAAATGCCTAAGTGGTAAAACAAGTTGTCATCAAAACATTTCTCTCTCCGTACAAAAAAGCTAAACTCGAACTCTCCGCAACAAACGGTCACCTGGAGCCGGTAATGGCTAGTTCCAACTAGCTCTGGTGACTACCATGGACAACACCAGAGGCCCTCAAGCTCCTCCCAGATCCCCAAATCCCCTGAACTACCAGATCTAATACCTAACAACCAAATCTCCAACATCCAAAAATTTTCACCGCTGCAAAGAAAAGCCATAGAAGTAGATGATAACTCAAATCAAAACCAAACGGACTCTTATGCAGATGCGCTAGGGTTCAAGGTTGGGAATAGAGCAAAATTGAAAGTGAGACTACCCCCCAGAAAGCATGAACTGATAGATCGAAAAGTTGTGATAGTTTTCACCAACGAAGAGCACGAACTTTTAGCAGAGACATGTCGATGGACCATTGTAGGTAAGTTCCTAAATAGCAGACCTTCAATCGATAGAAGTCGAGCTGAATTTGCTAGAACAATTAATACAAAAGGAGAGGTAAAAATTGGAGCTAAGGATAGATACCATGTTTTCATTGATGTTGAAAATGAAGACGATTTTAACAATATATACTCTAGAGAATTCATTCCCCTAGCTGGAGGGATCAATATGAAAATTATCAAATGGACCACAAATTTTAAGCATGGGTCTGAATCGTCCCTAGCTCCAATTTGGATTAACCTTCCAGATTTACCGTGGCACTATTATGAATGGGATGCTCTGTGTCGGATTGTTAGCCCAATAGGTATACCTTTGGTGATGGACAAGGACACAACCACGAAATCTAGGCCCACAACTGCCAAGCTAAGAGTTCAAATTGATCTAACAAAACCTTTACTTCATATGGTAAGAGTGGAGGTTAGGAATCAGTTTGGCAAAATGGAAACATTTGACCAAAAGAACGAGTATGAAACTATGCCCACCTATTGCTCACACTACAAAGTTCAAGGTCAGTCTTTAGAAAAATGTAGGGTTGTACAACATGAAAAACTACAAGAAGGAGGGCAAACTATGATGGCTGAGAAAGATGATAATGTAACACATATCATTCAGCAAAACAATGAAAAGTAGACCACGGCAACAACCAAGAACAAAGAAAGAATATATAACAGATGGAGCCTAAAAGTACTTTACCTCAGGAAGGAAGAATGTACAACCAGAACATTCAAAATAGCAAATGGCAAGATGTGGACAGAAAAAGAGGAAAAGGGATGAACAACAATGGGACATCGATGGGCCAACAACAAAATAAGAACAACAACAATGAGAAGGTAGCAGATCAAAGAACAAACAAGGGAAACAACAGAACAGAGGTCAACAATTCCTTCAATCTCCTACAAGAAGAACAGAGGATGGTCTAATGGATACCACAATCTACAAGAATGTGAATATGGAAGAACAAGACTCTACACAAGATCGCCAGGATACACAGCAACAAGAAAGAACAACAAGGTGGGACAAAGCTCAAAAAGACAAAGAAAAAGAAAAAAAAACAACAAATAGGGCTCAACCTAAGAAGTACTAGAACAAGGAATACTACCAACAACAACAAAGTCGATGTTGAACTACAAGGAGAGATGATCGGCTTAGTTATCAAAGACCCAAAGGAGTGCAATGTTATGCACAACAAAAGAAAGAAATTTGCAAAGACAATAAGCATTCTAGAGGGCATTACACTACAAGGAGAAACAAGAGACATCAGTGGAACAGTCAAGAGAAAAGGTACTAAAGAGAATGGCACATGGACCCCTATTAACATCCTCAAGATCGGGGAGGAGATGACTGGATCTAATAGAGTGGAAGATATAGATGTTGGGGAGAAAAACAAGAACAAATAACAAGAAAGTAGATACAGCATTAGTCATGAACCACCTGATCTAGATCCTTCAATAGAGGAAGAAAGATATGAATATGAAGAAGTCTTTCATGACCTAGATGTTATGGAGACAAACTCGACAATAATCAACAATGAAGAAGAAAGAAAAACTTAGTCTGATGATGAACTCACTAGGCTCAATATCAGCTTAGCCAACCAGGAATTGGAGTATCTAGAGAGTACACCAGTTTAACAAAACATCATTTTTTATGACAATCTTTCACCCAGGAACTACAAAAACCAAGGTGTGGATTTCATTCAAGAATGCCAGACCGCGGAAGAAATGAAGGAACAACAAAAAGAACCTACCCCTAGAAGTTTCAAATGATAGACACACTATCATGGAATATAAGGGGAATAGGATCTGTAGGATCTCTAGAGAGACTCCAAAACATCAAACAACAATTTCAAATCCCTTTGATTTTCTTACAGGAACCTCTTGTAGACAGTGGTAAAATGGATAGATACATAAGAAAACTAGATATGAACCATGGTTTTTCAATTGTTCAAACAAAATATGGATATTCTGGACTGCTGAAGTGGATGTTACTATAATTCAAGATAAGGAGCAACATGTCCTGATTAGTGCAAAACATCTCAACCACCCTGCTATCTTCCTAATAGTTTTCTATCCTAAATGCAATGAGGAAAGTAGAAGAGAGTTATGGCAGGACCTAAAAAATACATCCAACAAGATTCAAGGAGCTTGGGGTGTCATTGGAGAATTCAATGTTATCACCTCCAGTGAAGGAAAAAAAAGGCAGTAGAAGCTACAGAATGGAGGAAATTCTAGACTTCATAGAGTGCCTTAATGAGTGTGGTCTTCAAGATGCAGGTTTCATTGGGTCAATATATACATGGTGTGATAACAGAGATCCTCCTACTACTATTTGGAAGAGACTGGATAGACTTGTCTACAATAATGCATGGTTTGATACTATATCCAGTACTTCAGTTGCCCACCTTTCAAGAGCATGCTCTGACCATGCCCCACTGCTTGTCAAAATGTGTAATGAGGTTACTAACCATGTCAAATACTTCAAATTCCTTAATTTTTGGTCTGAACACCAAGACTGCCTCAAGATAGTGAAGGATGCCTGGGAAGAAGAAGATTATGAGAACCCTCTGTATACACTCCATCAGAAAATCAAACAAGTGTGTGAAGCCCTTAGTCTGTGGTCCAGAGAGGCTTTTGGAGATATCTATGAGGTTCCCAAAAGCTTGGAAGCAAAAATGAGAATTCTGGAGGATAACTGTGTTAGTGATAATTCCCATGAAAATAGAAGTGCTCTCTCTAGATGTAGAGCTGAATTCACAAGATACTTCAAGATTCAAGAAAGTATTCTGAGAAAAAAATCTAGAGACAAGTGTTTTAAAGAAGGTGATGCCAACACAACCTATTTTCATAGTGTTATAAAGGAAAGGAGAAGAAGATTGACCATTACTAAGATAATGGATGACCAAAATCAATGGCTAGAAGGAAATGATGTTATTGCAGAAGCAACTGTGAGGCACTTTCAAGGAATGTTCACTCAGGAATCTCATACCACCAACTTCAATGCTCTTAACTGCATAGAGAGGTGTATCACTGATGATGACAACAACATGCTTAAATCCATTCCTACTATTCATGAAATTAAAGAAGTTGTGTTTAATATGGACAAGGACAGTGCCCCAGGGCCTGATGACCTAAGTGGCTATTTTTATCAATCTGCCTGGGATATTATATGCAATGATCTTCATAAGGCAGTGGAATCTTTCTTTCAAGGTGCTAAACTTCCTAAGTCACACATACTTGCTTGGTAATAATTCCCTAAATAGATCACCCTCAAAAATTCTAAGATCTCAGACCTATAAGCCTTTGCAACACTTCCAATAAAATCATCCCAAAAATCCTCAATAGCAGAATCTCAAGCATCCTTCCAAAGCTTATATCCATAAATCAATCAGGTTTTATAAAAGGGAGAGCTATTACTGAAAATATTCTATTGGCCCAGGAAATAATCAATGATATTAAGTAGCCTTCTAGAGGTGGTAATGTGGTTATTAAACTTGATATGGCTAAAGCTTACGACATGGTCTCTTGGTAATTCGTATGCATGACTCTTAAAAAAAATTGGCTTTTTGAGTGGTGGATACATCTTATTCACAACTACATATCCAATAATTGGTACTCTGTTATTGTGAATGGAGGAAGGCATGGCTTTTTTAAATCTAACAGGGTTCTGAGACAGGGTGATCCAATCTCTCCATCTCTTTTTATCATCAGTGCTGAACTCCTCTCCAAGATGCTGAATAATCTTTATGATAGACAAGGTTACAAAGGCTTTTACATGAGTGTCAATGGTCCCAAAATAAATCACCTTTCTTTTGCTGATGATACTATCCTCTTTTACAATGGTAGTAAAAAGCCTCTTGAAATGATCTTAAAAACATTTGAAACCTATGAGAAAATCTCGGGCCAGCTCATAAATAAGGAAAAAAGTTGCTTTGCTATAGTTGATAATACTAATGTTGCTACCATCAGTAGACTAAGGACCATCACAGGTATGAACCATCAACACTTTCCCATTAAATACCTTGGGTGCCCTCTTATTGCTGGAAGGAAGAAAATATGCTACTACTCTGATATAGTCAACAAGATTATCAATAAGATTAGAGGTTGGCCAACAAAGTTTCTATCTACAGAAGGAAGAGCCATTTTAATAAGACATGTATTACTAGACTTACAAGTGCATCTTCTTGCTGCTACAAATCCCCCCAAAGGTACCATTGATATCATAAAAAAAAATATATTGCAAGGTTCTTTTGGTCAGGGAATGATACAGGTGGTAAATACCATTGGACTTCTTGGAATAAATTGTGCTACCCTTATAATGAAGGAGGTGCCAACTTCAGGTGATTATCTGACATTTGCCATGCCTTCCAAAGCAAACAATGGTGGACACTGAGAACAACAAACTCTCTCTAGAAAGAATTCATGCAAGCAAAATTTTTTTACAACTGTCATCCTTCTAATGCTCAATGGACATCTGGGCAA